CAGGCCTGAACCATGAGATCATGAACCATGGCTCATGAACCATGAGATCATGACCTAGGCCGAAGTCCGATGCTTAACCAACTGAGCCACCCAGGTGCCCCAATAAATAACTACTTTAAAGAATTATATATAATCACTTTTGAAACAAAATATAATGCTTCAAAAAATCCTCAGGGTTTTACACATAGCATAAAAAAGAAAAATCTAAAAATTTAACATGAAATTTAAGTATTAATTGCTAAAATATAATTTTAAATAATCTGTACAAATATGGCTCCTAAAACTAGCATGGCCCACTCAAAGTAATACAAATAACAAAATTCATTTGTAACCATGGATTCCATAAGTTGAAAATCAATTTCCACCATAAAAATTAAGTATTTTAAAAGCTCAAGACACAAAAAAATTAGTACAATAAAACAGATTCTTTAATAATACTAAAATTAAGAGATTGCTTAGGGATGTCTGGCTGGCTCAGTAGGTAGAACATGCAACTCTTGATCTTGGGGTTGTGAGTTCAAGACCCACGTTCGGCCTAGAGGTATTTTAAAAAAAAGGGGGAGGGGAGATCACTTAAGGAAATAACTAAAATAAAAAATGAAACTAGGAAGATATTTGTAATCAGTGGCAAAAGCAGCCTAAGAGATCATAAAATAAGCATTAAAAATGTAAGAGGTAAATATCAATACAGGAAGTATATACAACAAAAGATTAGAAAGCTAAACAAATATGGAAATATGTTCAACAAATAACAAAACATAAATCAGTAACAATCTATCATTTTACTCTAATAAATGGTAAAATTATGGGGCGCCTGGGTGGCTCAGTTGGTTAAGCTTCCATCTTGAGCTCAGGTCATGATCTCATGGTTTGGGAGTTCGAGCCCTGCATCAGGATCTCTGCTGTCAGCACAGAACCCGCTTTGGATCCTCTGTTCTCCCCTCTCCTTCTGCCCCTCCTGTGCATGCACCCTCTCTTCCTCAAAAATAAATAAACATTTTTTAAAAATAGTAAAATTATAACTCCCAATGGTGTCATGGTGACACCAGTATATTCACAAAATGCTGGTGCAGGCTTAAATCCATAATTTCTAGAACACAATTAAGTAATATAATTCATTCTCTTTAATATTTGAACTTCTTTCATGTGCTAGATACTGGGGATAAGCAAGAAAGCCACAGTCCTGCCCTCACACAATTTATAGCCTACTGCAAAATGAGAACTTTAAAAGAGTTAATCAGAAAGCATGGTAACTGTTTAAATAGAAAAAAAAAAATCAAGATTGCTAAGGAAGCTCACTATACCAACATCAAAGTTAGGGTGGAAGTGCTAGGGAAAATCACCAGTTATTTACTGGTTGCCAACCACCTTGCTCAGTTGGGGCTTAAATGATGAACACCACGTGGTATCTATCTGCAGAGTCAACAGTCTGGAAGTGAAGATTCACAACCACAACAGATGCGAAAGTACAGTAACAAAGAGGATACCGAGAAGGGAGAAGCAGTAGGTGGGAAGGGAAACTGTTGTATAAGAAGTGATGAGCACAATAATTAAGGGAATAGGAAGCAAGAGGCTGTCAGGAGCAACAGGGTGAAAGGAGACCTGTAGAAGAGTCTGTGGACTGTGTGGACTGACATGAAGAAAGTCAGTCATAAACCAGGATACAAGACACAGATGAGGGAAGGTGTGAGAAGCCAGATCATGAACTCAGGTTTGAACAAGAGAGTCTGAGGCATCCAAATCAGCAAGGCAAAAATGACCAAACTGCAGCTGGAAACAATTCTGGTGCTCAGAAAAAATTATCCTGTGACTATCCACGGAGTGAGGAAGGAAAAGAGCAGAATCTTAAGGAACATCAATGTGGAGGAGTCAGGACAGGGAGAGGAGTCCAGAAGCCGAGACCCTGGTCTTGACAGAGACTGAGAGTTGAAAGCAACAGGAAGTGGTAACCCGTATCCAAGGGACAAAAAAATGTAAGACTGGGCCCCAGAGGAACAATTCAGATGTCAGGGAGACTTCATGGTCAGTGTTGGGGGGATCATCAGGTAGCCAGTGCTGCTGAGGCAGATTGAGGGGTGAAGTTTTTATGTTGTTGTTTAAGGACATAAAGTCACTACATACTCTTCAAAGAAGTCTTGCTGGTGAAGAGAAACAGAGTAAACAAAGAATGCTTTAAGGAAAAAAGGACTGAGCACAAGCTGTTGCAGAAATGTTGTGTTTGGTTTTGTTTCAAGAACAGAAGAGACAGGAGAGGCATGAGCATGCTGACGAGCTGCTGTGTCACATTCAGTTGGTCAGGAAATAACTTAGTAGATATGAATTACTAAAAGCCAGTGCACATCAAAAGCAATTTTTCTTTTTTATGTTATTTTATGTTCACTGTGTAAATGAATTGGGAGGAAATAATCCCCCAGATAAGCTTTGACCAAAATAAAAATATAAAGAATTCCAAAGGGGAAAGTTGGGACAGGCCTGTAAAGAAAACAGTGTCAGCTAAGGGCCCACTGGTGCCTGGTAAATTTACATGTGGACCTAAGGTTGGTAGTAATGGGGAATTTCAAAGAAGTTTTACCAAATGGGCAGACAAGCTCTGAGAGTCAGGCAAAAACAAAGTGTTACTTAGAGTAAATACTGAAATGTACGGTGAGAACAATATGGAAATTATATGGCAGCTTGGCTTGTCCTGCATGTTCAAATAGAGTAAATGTGAGGGATCCTAAGTTCTAAGTAAGAAACTAAATTTCAGGGGTGCCTGGGTGGCTCAGTCGGCTGAGTGTCAGACTCTTGATTAAAGCTCAGGTCATGGGGCACCTGCGTGGCTCAGTCGGTTGAGCGTCCGACTTCGGCTCAGGTCATGATCTCACAGTTCGTGAGTTCAAGCCCCACGTCGGGCTCTGTGCTGATAGCTAAGAGCCTGGAGCCTGCTTCGGATTCTGTGTCCCCCTTTCTCTGCCCCTAACCGCTCCTGCTGTGTCTCTCAAAGATGAAAAACATTTAAAAAAAAAAAAAAAAAAAAAAAAAAAAGTAAAGCTCAGGTCATAATCCCAGGGTCCTGGGATTGAGCCCTGCATCAGGCTCTACGCAGAGCATGAAGCCTGCTTGCGATTCTCCATCTCTGTCTGCCCCTTCCCACCCCATGCACTCTCTTTCTCTCTCAAATAAAAATTTTTTAAAAAGAAACTAAGTTTGAGAAATTTTACCCAATGATTTGATATATAAAATAAAATGGGTAAAGATATAAGAGCATTAGGAAAATGAGTTGAAGAAGCCAAAAGAGGAGTAATAAGGCTCCAGGATTCAGACTAGATCAACTTCCCTGGTGTACTCTTGCTGTCAGTGGAGGAGGAGGGAAGATTATTACTCATGTTGTAACTTACAAAAGGACCTGGGTTGTGTAAATCAGGGTATACAGAAGTTTTCTAGCTCACCCAGCTTCCAGAGTGAGCAGATTTATGTCATAAGTCAAGATAGCAAAGTTGTGGGGGTCAGTACTCCATTCATTAGCAAATTTTTATAAGATTGAAAAATATGGAGCTCCAATTCTCCAAAATTATGAACAAGGTGAAGGGTGATATTATCTTTAGTTTTTTAATGTTTATTTATTTATTTTTGAGAGAGAGAGGCAGAGAGAGAGGGAGACAGAAAATCCGAAGCAGGCACAGAGCCTGATGCAGGGCTTGAACTCACGATGGTGAGGTCATGACCTGAGCCAAAAGCAAGAGTCAGATGCTTAACCAACTGAGCCACCCAGGCACTCCAATATCATCTTTCAAAAGTTAGTTTTTAAAAGTTTTAATAATCTGATTTGACTGACTCATATTAGAATTTCAATCACCCACTCTTTTCCATAGCAAGGAGATGTAATTAAAATAATGGATTTCAGTGATTCCTTCCTGGTTGTTCATGGAATGTATAATGTATTAGGAATACAAGAATATAAAAATATATATTACTAATATATACTAAGAATGCAGTTCTTCCCACCTAGAATACTTTACCTCCTGTCCTGAGCCTGGCTAACTTCCATGTTCCTCATGCAATCGCTCCCAACAGGAAGCTTTCCCTGATGCATTAAGATGATCCCACCTGATGAGTCACCCATTTCTCCCATTATCACAGCTATAACATGTCAACCCTTTACCTTAATCTCAGGTTTACTAGCATGAAGCTCCTGTCAGAATGCAAGCTCCAGGAGGATGGAGCCACATTAATTAAATTCAGAGTCTGGTTCTTACTACCTGGCACCGTGCCTAGCAAATAGTATGAGTAGAATTAAAATTTAAATGAATCATAAAGACAATAAAAACAGGTGGATCACAAAGAAATTTTACTGTTAGTAAGGGCATCTCAGGCTCCTGCCTCAGTGTCTTCTGGGGAGACAGCCCATTCCTATCAACACTTCTTTCACTAACAGAGCAGAATCTAAGGCCTTCATCATCCAGAGACATGCACAAAGCCAAACTACTCTGACAAACTACATTAACAAACATGCAAGGTCAATAAACAATGTCATATCAAAACTTACTCCTTCATTAAACATTTATTTTTATCCTCTCATTCGTCAATATTCAATCTCTTTGCTAATAACCAATGTAATCCTTCCCTAGTTGTCCCCATCCACCTACAAAAGGTTTTTTCAGCATACCATCTTTAAAGTAGAAAAATGTCATATATATGGCTGTAAATGTCAATGGAAGTCTATCTTTATCACCTGTTTAATACTTTTGTCACCCAGTTACCTAAAATTAGATCACAAGTGCTCCTAAGAACACCTAAAAAAAAGTTAGAGCATTTTATACACAGTATGTACTAAAAATGAGTGATAACAACTACAAAGTAGGGAAAATAGAAAACCCAAACAGAATATGAATTATTTGCTTATATGACAATATTAGATTACAGGAAAAGAAACATTTTTATGTCCTATTACAGTAAAAAATTTACTATGTACTATCTAATGTTACCTACACTGATCTACCAATTAAACATTAGATGCCTACCTAAAAGCCGCTTCCCAAAAGCAGTTCATTCCACAAACATCAGAGGGCAGCATCCAATAGGGATTCCAGTAACACAGAGAGAAATCTTTACACCTAACAGAGTAAGACAGAAATAAAGTCCTATGTGAGTATTTCGATTTAAAACTAACAAGGAATTTACTTAAAAACACAATAACTTACTGTTCTATTTTCAGCAACAAAACTGCAAATCCAATTTTGCAAATTCATTATGGCTAAAGTAACTTGAGGAGTTTGGAAATTTCTCCCTTACTCAGGTACCATTATTTTAAAAAGGACTTTAAAACTTTTAGGTAGAATAAATTGCAGACTGAAAAACCACTCCTTATCAGGAACACTCCTAACATATTAAAATCCCCTCCTCAGATAACAGAAAATATGGGAATACTCCTAAAATTTTCATTTGTGTACTACACAAGATCCCCCCAGAATAAAATCCTTTTCAGCTAAACAAAATATTTGCTTATCCTGAAGCCAAATTAAAATGCCACAGAGACAGAAAGGGAAGAGAGGATCTTTGAAGGCTTTTAAATTAATCTTCAATTCAAGTTAGTTATATGGTGTTTTAAACTGAAAAAATAAGAAATCACGCTGGAAGTGGCACCTGGGTGGCTGAGTCAGTTAATCATCCGACTCTTGATTTCAGTTCAGGTCATGATGTCATGATTCATGGAATCAAGCCCTGCATCAGGCTCTGCACTGACAGCACGGAGCCTGCTAGGGATTCTGTCTCTCCTTCTCTCTCTGCCCCTCCCCGTCTCTCCCTCTCAAAATAAATAAATAAACATTAAAAAAAAAAATCAAGCTGACATCCATGGCTCAGTTTCATTATCTATATCATCTTCGTTCTGCTATATTACACAAGCTAAACTGAAGTTATAAGTACAGTCTTTCTGCTTAGACTGCAGGTCAGAGCTAAACAACAACAGCTACAACACCACACGTTACAAAAAGTATGTTTTTTTTTATTGTTACTCTTTTCCAAAACAATAGTTTCATTTGAAATTCACTGCAATGCGGGGCGCCTGGGTGGCGCAGTCGGTTAAGCGTCCGACTTCAGCCAGGTCACCATCTCGCGGTCCGTGAGTTCGAGCCCCGCGTCAGGCTCTGGGCGGATGGCTCGGAGCCTGGAGCCTGTTTCCGATTCTGTGTCTCCCTCTCTGCCCCTCCCCCGTTCGTGCTCTGTCTCTCTCTGTCCGAAAAATAAATAAACGTTGAAAAAAAAAAAATTAAAAGTTTGAAATTCACTGCAATGTGAGGCCTGCGTACTAAAGCAAGTATGAAATCAGGGTGAGTCTCTAAACCAGATCATTTCATGCCGCCTCACCATGTAACTTTGTTTTCTATCGCTATAAATTCAATTATAGGTTACTGTCTTTACAGCAAAAGATGAAATTTCAGTTTGCAAAGATCTCTGATCACACCTCTCACAAATGCCAACAGTCTAGGGCAGGGGATCTCAAACCCAGGCTGCACAGGGAAACCACCCAGAGAGCCCCATACCAGACCCATTAAATCAGAATATCTGAGAACAGGGTGGGGCACAAATAGTTTTTAAAATGCCGCCTCAATAATTCTGTATACTCCTGCATAAAAACCTCCAGTTGGAATTTTAAAATCAATGGAAAAAAATTACATTGTAATTTGGTTTACCTTTACAGAGACACCATTTTCAAGCCCAACATATCTTAATTTAAAAGGCTGCAAAAGCAGGAAATAAAAGAAAAAAGAAAATATATGCAGACCAATAAAACCCACGAACGTCTGTACCCTCCCAGGAACAGTTATGTATTTTTTAAGTCTTGCCTTTCCATATGAGACACAGGCTCAGTGGTGGTGTTAACAACAGAGTTCTTTTCAGAGTCAAGTGCTTTCACATCCACTTAAGCCTCACAACAAACTTGTTCAAACAGATATCTCCATCTTTCAGAAACAGGCATTATCACTGCTTTCTTTAAACAAATCCACAATTTACTTAGACTCAACACCTACAGTGCACCTTTGTTTCAGGAAGGACATAACTAATCTGGCTATTCCATGTCCTCCTGTTAAACCTTACAAGAGTAGAAAATGGAAATGAAAAATGGAAATGGAAAATTAAGTCTCAAGAAAAATAACTCCCCAATTAAATTCTTCCATAAAAATGATCCACTGAAATTATGTAATAATACCATTTTCTGCCTCCAGTTGCACTCTTCAACCTCTGAGACCTAGGCAACCACAATATCTATCTTTGGTCTCTATAGATTTGCCTGTTATGAATATTTCATGTACATGAAATCATACAATATGTGGTCTCTCAAGTTTGACTTCTTTCAGTCTGACTCGAATATTTTCAAGGCTCATCTACTATAGCATTTATCAGTACACTTCAATACTTTTTATGCCCTAATAATGGATGGATATGCCACATTTTGTTTAGTCATTCATCAGTTTATAGACATTTGGGTTGTTTTCCATCTTTTGGCCATTACAAATAATGATGCTATAAACATTCATTTACAATTTTTCTCTGAACATATGTTTTCAATTCTCTTGCATATATACCTACAAGGGGAATTGCTAGATCATGTAATCACTCTAAAGTAATTAATGCAGATGAAACTGCAGGGAAAATTATCAAGTTTTAGGTAAGTTTCTTGACCATAACTCAATGTCTGAAAACACAGTTTAGGGATATCTTTCTGTCTGTCTTTAATGGAAATATAAAAATATGCACTAGGGAGTATACATGCCTCTTACTATTTAAAAAAAATCATAAAACACTAATGTGCTACTGGCAAGAGGTAGCATAATTTAATGTTTCTTATTTCTCAAACTTACATTCTCTCACTTATGAAAAAATAGTCAAAGATTAAAATAGAGAGTAGAAACTCATTACGTACCAGCAACTGTTATTACAAGCAAAAATTAGAAAAAAACAACTAATATGGAGACAGATAGCAACTGTACTTTAGGCCACAAAAAAATAATATTAAAAAATACTGGGAAAGAAAAGGTGTTATCCATGTTCTAATTATTAGCTGCTTTTGCTTTTATTCCTTAAAATTATTGAAAATGAAATATCAGAAATACAGTTCAATTTTCAAAGAGGTAATTCAACTGAATAATTTTAATGGGGCAAAACTATTAAGTTGAATTAAGTGGGTATGTCTTCAGTAAACAGTGACATCCAAAATCAATGAAGTCCATAAAAGCAAATCTCCTTCATTGTAGTATAAGTTGAAATAAACTTTACTATGACTCCTCCTCAAATTTCATACAGTGTAATGTTTCTAGTTCCAGGTGGCTTGTCTCCAAAGTGATGAAAGGGTAGCACAAGGGAAATTTGTGGTAATAACACAGTCCAGTATCCTGACTGTGTGGGTGGTTACACGAATTTACATATGTGATAAAACTGCACATACATACACGAACACCTGTAAAACTGGTGATATCTGAATATAGTCTATGGGCTGTACAATGTCAATTTCTGGAATTACAATATTGTACTATATTGAAACACATATATTCCAGTTGTATTAGTATTGTACTATGCTCATAGAGATTAAGATCCCACTATTAGGGGAAATGGAGTGACTGATACAAGGGTATCTCTGCAATTTCCTGTGAAATAATATTCATTTTAAAAGTTAAAAAATAGAGGCGCCTGGGTGGGTCAGTTGGTTGAGTGTCTGGCTTCAGCTCAGGTCATGATCTCACAATTTGTGGGTTCAAGCCCCGCATCGGGCTCTGTGCTGACAGCTTAGAGCCTGAAGCCTGCTTCAAATTCTGTGTCTCTCTCTCTGCTCCTCCCCTGCTCATGCTCTGTCTCTCTCTCTCCTTCAAAAATAAATAAAAACATTAAAAAATTTTTGTTTTAAATAAAAAAGATCAAAAACAAAATTCCCCAAAATTTCAGTACTTGAAGAGCTGAGACATTTCATGCTTGGGATTAAGCAGAGCATTTAATTAATTATATAATACTCTCCACAGTAACAGTTCTCAAACTTGAAGTTTCCTTAAATCTAGTAAGAGAAGGTCTTCTATAATTTTAAACTGGAAAAGGTATTTTTCATTTCAAAATGTCCATGATAGTCTTGAGGCTTTAGTGAAAACCATGTACACCTTACAGTCAGGGATAAGTTTGGGCATATCCAGCAAAAGAATGTGGAAGTCTGAACGAAATACTGTGAGCCACCCATGAAATTTCAAGGCACAGATACCTGCTCTAGGACTGTGGCAAGAGAAACAGAGATGCTCGTGACCACATTAGAGGAGACCATTCCCATGATACTGACAAATCAGCATTACTTGAAGATCAGTGCCTGGGTCACTCATTTTCAACTAAAAATTGCCTCCAGACAACAATGTCTAGCTACGTCAGGTCTTTATCTCAAATCTCTAATTTCATGAATACTCAATGTGAAAAGGACTGCTTATATACAAATGGCAATGAACAATTACTTATCCATTTCAAAAGTAGGTTAGCTTCCCATTGTACCCAACCCCCTCCTGGGGGGGTGGGGGGGGCTGGGTTAAGGATTTAAAATTTTTTTTAATTTATTTGAGAGAGAGAGAGAGAGAGTGCGCGCAAGCACATGAGCTCTCAGAGGGGTGGGGTGGGGGGAAGAGAGAGAGAGGGAGAGGGAAAGAGAATTTTAAACAGGCTCCATGCTGTGTGGAGCCCCACGCAGGGCTCAGTCCCACAGTGCTGGGATCATGATCTAAACTGAAATCAAGAGTTAGACGATCAACTGAGTGTTTTAATCCACCCCTGGATTAAAAGATTTAATTGTTATAGGGCACTGGGTGGCTTAGTCAGTTGAGCATCAGACTTCAGCTGAGGTCATGATCTCACAGTTCATGGGTTCGAGACCCATGTCTGGCTTTGCACTGACAGCACAGAGCCTGCTTCGGATTCTCCCTCTCCTTCTCTCTCTGCCCCTCCCCTGCTCATGCTCGCTCCCTCTCTCTCAAAAATAAACATTTTAACAAATTTAAATGTTAAAAAAAGGGGGGGAAACTCCCCAGTAGAAAGTTTTTCTATGCATGACAAAAATGAAAATGATAAAGAACTGCCAATTTGAATACACAGAAATGCCAATACACTGAAAAACAGGTTAAGTCAATATGTGGGGGGAAGTATTTCCAACAGGAACAACACAGATAATAACCTTAATGTGTTAAAACAGGATTCCTAAATCAAAAAGTACACATTTTTTGTTGTTAGACTAATCAGTTTCCCCTCCAAAAGCACAGACCATTATTTTAATTAATTACTAGTCAGGTTTGTGCTAAGCACTTCACAGCCATGTGAAGTACGATCGCCAATGAACTAAAACACAAGTGCAACGTACTGCTTTTATAGAAGATGAAGGTGGCTTTAGTAAGTAATTTGTTTCACTATTCACTGTCTGAACTCCTCTCTTCAAAAATGACTGCAGAGAAGAAGGAAAAAAAATTCTGTACTAAAAATAGAGGGTCAAACCATTCTCAGCTAAATTAGTGGTTCTTAATATTTGGTTTTGTAACAATAACCTGGGGCACATATCTAAAATACAGATTCCCAGACCCCACTAACGGGTATTCTGGTTTAAACAGGTCTGGACTGGGACCTGAGGACAGGATTTTTCCCAGAAGTCAGAAAAAAATTTTTTTTAATGATTAAAATTTAAATGATTGAGGGGCACCTAGGTGGCTCAGTCAGTTAAGCATCTGACTTGGTTTTGGCTCAGGTCATGATCTCGCTGCAATCGAGCCCTGTGTCAGGCTCTGAGCTGAGCATGGAGCTTGCCTGGATTCTCTCTCTTCCTCTCTCTCCCCCTCCCCTGCTCTCACACTCTCGTTCTCTCTCAAAATAAATTAATAAACATTAAAAAGGAAAATGGATTCTATTCTTAAAAAAAATTTTAAATGACTGAAACCATCAGCATATTAGGTACGGTTTTACTGTGCCAGGTACCATACTCAGTAACCTATTCCAACTACTTCATTTCAATTCTCACAAACAATCCAGTATCACAGATTCTCTTATCTCTAATCTAACTGATGAGGAAATGTATTCAAGGTTCATACAGCTAAGCATGTGGCAACGCTGGAGTCTGGCTCCAAAGCCCTAAAGATGCTTAGTATATCCTACTAGTATTCACAAGACCCAGCAAAAATGAGAACTCGATGGCCTAACCAGATCTGAAAGAGTGAGGGGACTATATACCAACAGAATGACGGGTCCAGAAATGGTTCTCACTCAAATGTTTACTAGTTTTTTGATCCCCCCCCCCCCTTCACACCACCACACAGCCACAATAAGATGAGATCTTGATGATCACCCTCAAGACTTATCAGTGAAATGTGAGAATTTAATCACTCTGAGTAAAGTCACAAAATAGACTAATCCCCTCTACGGAAGTCCTGATGTCTGATAATAATAACGGCTTTACATTGAATACCTTAGCAAGAGTCCGTCAGTATCGAACAGCTTGACAGAGTTTCTCTATGTGGCAGAGCCTCTGCCTAGCCAGCATTCCCCTCTTGTAAGACACCACTCATCTCCAACACCACTCACGTTATCCTGTCCACCACAAGGATGTGCAAATGACACAGACCCTGAGAATCAGAGATCCCCATCCTAGACAACACTGACTTGTCCCTGGATGGACATGTGATACAAACAAATCCAGAGCCTTTTCCTAGAAATCGCCAGAAAATCTAAAGCCTCTTCCTGGAAATTTTTGAAATTCCTAGAATTTTGAAATTTCCTAGAAAATCTGGAGCCTTTTCCTAGAAATTTTTGATATTTGAGAAGAAACACCCCAAAGAAAGAGCTCATGAATAAAGCCTTTCTACAGTGAAGAAAATAAGAGTCCTAGTCCTTAAGGTCCCTGGAGCTGCCCGGGCATTTCCTTTCATTTTTCCTCCTGCCAGCAACCCACGTAAGCCAATAAATAACTGTTTTTGCTTAAGTTGGTTGTACTGGATTTTAATCACTGACAACTAAGGATTCTATTACAAATTAAGGTAAGTTATTACCTACATTTTACAGGTGAGAAAACTGAAATAGAGAGGTGGTCAAGGTTTCACAGCAGAGTATGAACACAGGTTTGTCTGACTCTAAGGCCTGCACATTTTCTAAATACCAAAATAATGGATTCAAACCAGATACATTAATTAATAGATTTCACTGAAAACCTGTTCTTATCATTTCAGAAATTTTACTTGGAGAACTTGGAAGGACCCTTCCAAGTACTTTATTGTCATGGAATTTGTGCAATGAATACTCTCCATAAGATCTGAGCAGTAAAACCTACTGGATATAACCTAGACCCCATGTTTGTTGTTTTAATGTTTGTTTATTTTTGAAAGAGAACGCAAGCAGTGGAGGGGCAGAGAGACAGGTGGACAGAGGATCCAAAGCAGGCTCTGTACTGACAGCAGAGAGCACGATTCAGGGCTGGAACTCACGAACCATGAGATCAGGACCTGAGCCTAAGTCAGATGCTCAACCTACTAAGCCATCCATGCGCCCCTAAATCCCGTATTTTATTTTTTTTTTAATTTTTTTTTCAACGTTTTTTATTTTATTTTTGGGACAGAGAGAAACAGAGCATGAACGGGGGAGGGGCAGAGAGAGAGGGAGATACAGCATCGGAAACAGGCTCCAAGCTCCGAGCCATCAGCCCAGAGCCTGACGCGGGGCTCGAACTCACGGACCGCGAGATCGTGACCTGGCTGAAGTCGGACGCTTAACCGACTGCGCCACCCAGGCGCCCCAAATCCCGTATTTTAAATGAATGAGGGAAATTAATAGTTTCAGTCTTGCAGGTAAGACTGCTTCAAAACAGTAAGACTGCAATGACAATCGAGTCCTACCAAATAAAAATGTTGCTTGCCTCACACCCCATTTTCCACTGATGAAAGACTATTCAGACTAGATTCTTATCACAGACAGAAACTTTACAGAAAGAGCACTGAAGGATCAAAGAATACAATTCTGGTCCAATTACTGATGCCTTCTGGACCTTGGTCAAATGATTCATACACAAGAAGAGAGGTTAAAGATGGACACTTACTCTTTATCCTGTGGTAGTCAAAAAGTTGGCCAAACTCTATGAGAAATCTTTAAAAATGTAGGAGGGCCTGGGTGGCTCAGGTCCTGATCTCGTGGTTCATGGGTTCAAGCCCCGCATCCGGCTCTGTGCCGACAGCTCAGAACCTGGAGCCTGCTTCCGATTCTGTGTCTCCCTCTCCCTCTCTCTCTCTCTCTCTCTCTCTCTCTCTCTCTGCCCCTCCCCCACTTGTGCTCTGTGCAGTGTCTCTCTCAAAAATAAATAAACACTAAAAAAAATTTTTTTAGATAAGTAGTATCTAAAATGAAGAACCCGGATCTAAGAATTCTCCAGCCTCACGTTGGGTGTAGAGACTGTCCGATTTCATACAGTGTTTTGATTAAAATGTTGCTTCCTTACAATTCTACCCAATACAGAAATAATTTTAAGTGCTTCACAATCACATAATAGACCATGAACAGCTTTTCATGAGCCTCATTTTTCATGAGCTCACTCAGGTCGTCACTCACTGCCTCTCCCACACCTGACTGGAAGCAGTTCTGCTTTTATGAATAGTCAGGAATTAGCCAGACTGTAATCAAATCATTGGGTACAAAACATGACAATCCTGCTTTCCCATGCTGCTCCTCTGCCCAAACGTCCTTTCATTTTGAAAGGGGCCATCAACTCTCAGAAGAATGTTAAACAGCCTGCAGCAGACCTGCACTCCTTCGTCTCACCAACCCTGTGCTTTCCCGTATTAAAGCAGCCTTTGCCTCTTATTAAGGGAGCACTGAGTCCTTCCCAGATTCCCAGAGAGGTGCTCACAAATAAAGAAGCCTATTTTTCAAGGAAGTGCAAACGCTCAGATTTTGTTAAGCATTCATAGTGCGTCGCATTCTTTCTTCCTTTAAATCTCACGGTGATTCCAACTCTGGCAGTGATTTGTGCAAATCCACGTAAGTCACTATGCTTCTTTTTAAACACCGATTTTTAGAGAAAGATATCCCATCCCACAAAACACGTGAGCATGTTAAGCATCGCAGATTTTTCTTAACTGGCTGTAAGTTTCAGAACAGACCGACTGCTTCCTAAAGAAAAATTCAAACTACGCATAAAAAGCTCTGTCCAGATTTCACTAACTGACTAATAATGAAAATGTAGGCGTTAACACACAAAAATTGGACGCCCCATTCAAGAGAAGGGGAAAAAATTGAACTAGGGCGCCAGCCTGATGTTTAAATATCTCAACTTGAACTCCATGGAAACAAGAGGGAATTCCCACTAGCCAAACAGCAAGAAGGCTTTTGTGGGGCACCTTTTACTTTCAAAGAATTCTTTAAGGAAAAAAAAAAGCAACTGTCAATTAAAAGTTGAAAATTAATTTCTATCTGCTTTAAAGGCGCATAAGGAATGGGTCAGAGGGCAAACACAAAGAGCATGGGGTGCTCTCCGGCGGAGCTACCCCCGGATGGAGGGGAAGGAGGGAAATGAGAGACGGGGTCACGGACGGCGGCAAAGCGGGAGGCGCGGGCCCGGGGACGGGTGGCGCGGGACTGACCGGGGAGCTGTCCGGGCCAGGCCAAGCCCCGCGTCCCCGCGCCCGCCGCTCCTCCCTTCCTGGCCTCGGCCCCCAGACCGGGAACAGCCCGTACCTGTCTGACCGGCCGGGATGCGCTGCGGGGCCCGCGCTGCCCACCCCTCTCGCGCCGCCGCGTCCGCCGCCCGCGAGCCAGGAAGCCGCTGCGGCCTGCGGCTTCCCGCCACCGCCGCCCGCTCCTTCCTCCAGGGACACGGCGAGCTGGCTGAAGGCGTAGAGGAGCGAGCAGAAGCCGCAGGCCAGGCACAGCACCACGATGCGCAGGTAGCGCCGCATCGCCCCGGACCCGCGCCTCAGCCACCTCAGCCACCTCAGCCACCTCAGCCACCTCAGCCGCCGCAGCCGCCGCGCCGCACCGCGCCCGCCCGGCGAACTGGAGCGAAGGGAACAGCACGGCGCAGCCGCGGCCACAAGTTCCTCCTCCGCCGCGGCCTCGTGCCCGCCCCTCCTTCCTTCTTTTCCCCCCTCTCGCCCCGCCCAACCACCTTCGTCGGCAGGCTGACAACCCGCCGCTAGCCTGACCCCGCCTCCGCCGCCGTGGGCCCCTCCCACGGGGTGGTGGGGAGCTGGTAGCTGCGGGACGCGCAGGCGCAATGAGTGGGCGAGACCTTGGCGCTCTGGAGTCGGAGGGGAACACAGAAGAAATGCAGAGCAGGTAAATCCTGCCCCTGGTGGCTCCAAACCGAAGAGGAGAGGTGTGGCAAAATAAACGAGGCGCTGGAGACAGCTGACCCGAATTCAGATTATGGTTCTAACACATAGTAGTTTGTGACATTGAGCAACTTAAAGTCTCTTGAGCATGTTTCTTCATCTCTAAAACGGAGATCATATCCTCATGATAGGGTGGTGGCAAAGATTAAACTGCTTAACGCACGAAAAACGCCTTGCACCTGGAAGGCATTTATTTAAGCCATTTTTCAGTTCCATCTTCCTCAGCAGGGACTTCCCCAGCCTCTAAGTTTCTTTAATACTGTACGAGCCATTTTCATCCAGATATTTAATTACGTCGTAATGCTGTTGAGTATGCATATCCTGCCTCCCAGTGAACTTGTTACGGGCATGTACGGCTGAGGTGCTCTCTATTGCATCTTTTTTTCACCTTCTTTACAACTCATCATTTGCATGTCCGTAGCAATTAATATTCTCCCTAAAGGGCTTTCTCTTTAGCTTTCCATTTCTTCTCCCTCTTCTTCAGCCATATAAACACTCCATTCATTTGTTGAACATATATAAAGCATCACTATGTGCCAAGCGCTATGCCTTGGGGTATAAAGGTATAAAGACACCTAGCTGGGCATAGGGTGGGACAGTAAATAAGCTCGTAAGTAAGTGGGACTTAAGTGTCAATAAGGGACAATGAGTAAATATGTGGGACTTATAAATATGTGTACTACTAGAATACAGACATTAGGATATAAGCCTGTAAAGGTGTGGGCAAACACAGAAAGAAGCCATCAGTTCTACTGAGGGCATGCTCAAAAGACACTTCATAGTAAAAATGGACCCAGAGTCTTGGGTGGGGTAAGGGAAGGAATTGCAGGCTGAGGTATCAATGAAACAGGTACTTGTGTCTGGGAAGCTGAGAAGTTCGATACCACCAGCTAAGTGAATGCAAGGGAGGGTATGATGAGTGATAAGACTGTTGAAGGGGCCGGATATTTGAGTGCCTTGTTTAGTATGCCAAGAAGTTTTAACTTAATCTAGCAGAGTGGGTGAACCACTGAAGGGTTTTTAAATTAGGAAGTAACATGATCACATTTGCCTTTTAGAGAGCAGGTTCTGGCCTCAGTGTGGAGGCTGGGACAGAAATTGAGATTGGAGCCAGAAAGCAGTGCCAAAAAGTGAGGGAAAGGAAGCTGGCTTTAAACACACACACACACACACACACACACACACACACACACACACACACACTTACACACCTCGTGGAGAAAAATCATGCTGTTAAACTGTTCAAATTGCATTTGGAGCTTTGAAGAGTTTGGCCATGAGAATCAAAGGGGGGAAATGCTGTGTAATTTAACACTAGTTCTCCATTTGGAATCCCTACACAAAACACTGCTGGCTCTGTGACCATGGAAAGGCACTAAAGAAATTTAAGCCTCAGTTTCCTCTATAAAGATGAAATTTCTTGCCTTACCTGACAAAAAAAATGAAAACTAGCATGCTATCAAGATGTGTAAGTAGAATTAAAACATACACTTATTCATTCAGTAAACATTTATTGAATATATTCTACATGCCAGACAAGGGGCTAAAATGTACTGCCCTCGAAGGGATGACAGGCAAGTAAAAATGACAATAATAAATTAATCCTTCTACTACACCTTACAATTCTTAGAGAAATAAAGATAAACTCAACGAAGTACAAAGATGGATCGCAAAAGCATTTGTAAGAATGGAAAATAGATTTTGAGAGAGAAAACTAAAGGTTATATTACCAAGAAACTAGAGTAAGAGCTAGTACTCAAATAGATCAAGGATGTTTAAAGAGATGCCTACCACAATTGTTCTCTATTTCAACAAAGAAACTAAATGTAGTAAAAATAAAGAATAATTTAATGACCCACAGATTGTTTAAATACTGAAATGGCAATTTTCATTCTTCAACAATTTATGGGAAGAGCATATCTGGAAGAATAATCATCCGTTTACTTGACATCAGGGTTCTGGACCATATCACACCCCTTAGATTCCTTTTAATTCTGTAACTAAAAATGAAATTCTGTTGAAAAAATATATAAGGCATTCCAAAATTAGTAAATATTTTTGTATTACCCACAGTCGTAACTGGCTGTCTTGGAGTATGAGGAGCTATGTGCATGCCCTTCTGATCATTTCCAGGATTCACACATTTTTGTATATATTTTTAAATGTCTGTTTATTTTTGAGAAAGAGAGACAGACAGAATGTAAGCAGGGGAGGGGCAGAGACAGAGAGGGAGACAAAGAATCTGAAGCAGGCTCCAGGCTCTGAGCTGTCAGCACAGATGCGGGGCTCGAACTCAACAAACCAAGAGATCATGACTTGAGCCAAAGGAAGGCAGACACTTAACCGACTGAGCCACCCAGGCACACCTGCATATTTTTATATTCTTAAATTAATTTTAAATATTGAAAATGACTTAAATATTTTTGAGGTCATAACAGTTACATATTTCTTTCATTTACTGTATGTATGTACTCCCGAGTCTACTTTTTCATCTCTAGACCACACTCTTAATTCTCTAGTGAAAGGCTGACTATATACAAATTTTTAATCGATATTCATCTTCCCTTCATCCTGTCAAAAAGTTAATTGAGGTGGACAAAAAGAAATTTAAAAGTAGCAATATTTGTTGTTTAAATTATGGAGATAGAGACCTCTTCCATGATCTAGAAAACTCTCAGATACAGGATAATACAAATTTCAAGAATTTTATATTCAAAAGATCAATCTTGATTATTCCTACAGCTCCTAGTATATTTTGAATATATAACTGATATTTAATGTTTTTATTTTTTTCATAAATATTCTCAAAGTCACTCTATAGCAAATGTAGGGTTCTGTTCAGCATTCCCGTCCCATTTCTGTCTACCTTTTAGTATTTTTTTTTAAATCATTTTCCTGGGGAAAAGGTAAACTCTATATCCTTTCAGAGTAAACTTCAAAAACTTTTCTATATAACTTTACTTTATAATGATCTATGCAAAATCTGATTTAATCCTTATAACACTTATATGAATTAGATGTTATTTTAAGAAACAAGGAACCTGAAACTTAGAGAAGTTTGTTGACCCCATCACTAATAATGAAGATCCATAATTCAAATGGAAATCTTTAAGAATCCAACACACGTTTGTTTTTTCCATTATACCATGCTGTCTCACTATGAACAAATAAATGCTAATCTGAGTGATGCAAATTAGAAGTAAAAGGAAAAAGAAAAAAAAATCCATGTTATATGAAAACCCCTTAGACTGGTCTTCATTGAGATTAAAACAAAATTTACAATCTGTGAAACTCAAGTCAGATTAGGTGCAGGGCACAAAGAATCAGAAACTCAGACTAAAAGTGAAAACTACTCTCTCTTCCAGTAGGCCCCTAGTGAAATCTCATTTTCCACAGTCCATTTCCTAGAAACCTTGTTGGACTGGAGGAAGAAGTTGGAAAACAGTACTGTCAGTTTGAACAGAAAGTATTTCAGTTTAGGTATCCATTCAGACCAGTAAATGTAAGGAAAAGGTAGAACTGAGCAGGATGCAAGTGTCAAGCATTTCTCTTCATTCTCAAAAAACTCACAGGCCACATGATTCAAAAACATGGCAGTGGAAGACCAATAAATGGGGACACCTTAGCTCCTATATGATCCCTGAATTGGCTGGCATTTCCATCCACAAGGAAGGGAGAGTATGGAGGGGCTAGAGTAGGGAGGGGAGTAAGGAATATCCTATGGGCCATCCCTGTAATTCTCCCTCATTCAGTCTTCAGGAACCTTCCATTCCCATTAATACAATAGATTATAATCTACTACTTTTTAAAATGGTATCAGCAAAATTAAAAGCTAGATTTGTAGGGAAATTTAGTCATGAGGAAAATTGGAATTAAAACACACATGCACATGTTCACTGAGAAGCTGCCATCAATCAAGGTCATAATTACAACAATAGCAACATCTTTTTCCTGACCCAGGTCATCAAAAGTTGAAGGCTGAAAATAATTAAGAATTCTGATACCATCACAATTCAGAAGTCCAGTGCTTAGTTGAAAAATAAAATCAGAATTCTTGTTACCCATATTCCTTTCTATAAAGTAATTGCATCACTAGACAGCCCTGTTATATTTGGTTTCTTTTTTACTTTTATGTATTCTTAATAAAAAAAAAAAAAAGATTCTTTTTTGCTCTAATTAAGTTAAACTGTCCCTTATTTATCTTATCCTGTACTGGAAACCTACGCTTTTTAATCTTTTACAAAAGAACTACCTCTTGGTCCTAAGGCAAGATCATTTTGTTCTTCTGAGAACTCAGCCTACTTTCCTTTTTTTTAAAAAATGCTTTCATTGCCATTTTGTCCTGTAGGAGTCGTCTCCCAAATTGGTTTTACACAGTATCCCAACTCTTCTCAATCTTGCTGACTCCAAAAGTAAACACAGTCTCATTTCATTGTTGCTATTATTATAAATTAAGAGAATAGGGAAAACAATATACATTAAAAAGTCTAAATTAGTAAATCTTGGAACTCACCTTAGTTTCTGAATTCTCTTGCTAAAAGAGTTATGGAAACATGAGGATGAGCTGGTAGCTTTCACTCAAACTCCCTACTTCCAGGTAGACCAGCAGATCTAAACCCAGATGTAAGCTGAAGACCTGCCACTCCTCAGGAATTCCAAGCGCAGAAGCATCCATTTCACTGAGACCTCACCCCCAAAAAGTTCTCATTGGGGCTTATCTTCACATATTGAAATGAAGCAATTCTTTAACTTTTAAAAAAAAGTATTACTGTTTAGCCTTATATACAGAAGAGATGTGAGGAACTTTATACGAACACAAGGAAAAACACTAAGGTCAGAATCTAGAAAATCTGGATCAAGAGTGACATGGCAGGTGATTAGTCCTACATTCGATTAAAAGTAAGCCTAATTTGAGATTTTTCTCAGAAATGGAAGGCAATCAATAAATTATCTGCATTATCCATAAGAAAAAGGCAAATTTCCTCACGTAAATTAAAGTTTTTCCTGAAATAGGTCCGAATAAAATTTTTCATTCAGATTCTGGGTAATGTTTCCTCATCATCTTCGCAAAAAGGAACAGCAGACCTCATTCAGCTGATTACTGATTTTTAAAAATGAGTATAGAAAAAAATGATAATCTTAACATGGTTTAAAGTCTTAAACTTTGAAAATCCAAGTTGGAGTTATGAAATGGGAGCTAGAAAACTACTATTGACACCCAACATTATCAGCTGCAACTGTCAAGAGGAGATCCAAACATCTTAGTGTGGACTCGCAGTGGATACTTAGGCCAAACTGTTTCCAGGGAAAAAAAACAACAACAAACAAAAACCAAAAAACTGGCAAGCACTCCCTCTGCTACTTCTGTATCTTACATATTTTTATTGTTGCAGTAATGGCTTTGTAATTACTTACTTACAAATCCTAAGATGTGAGCTCCACATCTGTGTCCTCTTCATAACCACCCCCTGGCCCAGTGCTGGGCACACAAAATATACCCTATAAATGTTCACTGAATACGGATATAAAGACAACCTAGATCAGGAAAATACTTAAAGTATTACAATAGTAAAATAGTTACTACACTCTACAACAACTAATGTGGAAGAAAAGAAAAAAAAAACAAAAATGAAAAATGATTCAGAACATGAAACATGTCCCAGAGCACTGAAACCTTTCAGAGCTCTGCTTGACTTTTCCATAAAAGTACCTGGTCTTTTAAGGGCATTTCATGCGCTTCAGAACTGGCCCATTCCATAAAGACAGGAATATCTGCACTGGCTAAATATAAAGGCCACATTAAAAACCTTTAAATTACCTGGGCTAGTGGGAATGTACACTCAGGAAAGTAAAGTGTTCATATAATTCAAGGTAAAACTTCTCTATGACAGCTTCTTAAAATCAACTGGTTTTGAAGAAAATGGTTTTAAAGTTACTACACATATATTGCTACCCTAGTAAATATAGCTGAAACTTTACAGATTCGTTATGAAGATCACAGCATGTTTTTCAAACGTTCTCAGAGACAGACATGCTACTATTTGTTCTGCCTTCCTAGAGATTCTTCTCTATGACCACCCAGATTGTATCCCAGCACCCCATGGCCTAATTCCTATTTTTGCTGTGTTTGTTTTTCTCCTACCCCTTCCCTCATTTTTTTTCCCGTTCCTATCCTTCCTTGCCTTTGATATTGCTGAGGCGTATTTTCTATTACCCTCAATAGCCAGTGAGGGCATTCTTCTCCTTCTGCTTTCACAAAACGATCGGTCACATCCTGTATTTTGTAACCTTCAGTGTCTTTTGATTCTGCTCAGCTATTTTTGTCACTGATGACTTTTCTGCACTTCAATTTTTTCTACATTCATTGTTCCAGACAACGGAAGGTGCCTGTGGTTGAAGGCAGGGGAGGGCAGTGCCAATAAGTCAAAGTATCATTTTATGTTTATCCTTTTCCTTATACATTCACTTTTCTGTTTTCAGTTAATTTTCAAAGTACAGTACAGATGTTCCTATCAATTGCCCAATTCCTGTATCAGGTCTTTAAAAGATTCCAGAAGAGGTAATTTGCAGACCAAGCAAATAAGTAAAATAAGTGCCTCAGTGGAAACGAAAACTTCTAGACCATTTAGCATCAATGCATAGAACATGCAGAAACTACATTTTTAGGCAATAAGGATTTTTGCCTAAAAGAAAGATAATAAATATGCTATCAACTTAGACAAGCTGAAGTTCTCTTCCTTTTTAATGTTTTCACTTTGTCTACTATCACTATAATTTTAGGAAAGCATTTAACAAAAATAAAACCTTTAAGTCAACTATTTCTACTGTGTAATACAAAAGGTTTTAAGAATATGTATTTCTGGTATGCCTCAAATTATATCTTCACTCTTAATTATATCAAAATAAGGTAATAAACTCTGAAAAACATTCAAATTCTTTTTGTATGGAATTTGGTTAAAAGAACCCACTGCTAAAACTACAGGGTAAACCAATGAAAGAGTTTAAAATGTACACTAAGCCCAGGCTCTGAATCTTTTTGCATATTTTAACATTAGGTATATTTGTGGAATTGGGGTCTGTTTCCTGGTTTGGAAGTGTATTTGAGGTAGGGTGAAATTAAAGCAAGTGAAGATAATTGTGATTAATGAGAGGAAAACAAAATTTCAAACTAGTCAACTCAGTTCATTTGTCCTAGCTCCAAGTGCATACCAACAGAAAGTTGGCTGATCTGGGATCAGAGCAAACATCTGATGTGGAAAATTCAGTGTAACCCACAGAACACAATCCTTTTGGTCACCCAAGAGGGTGTGCAAATAATTTTTGTTACAAAGAGTATTTTTGCATTTTCGTAATGGGATTTTACCTATAAAGATAGTAAAGGCTCATTTACTGAGCAACCAGTGTGTGTCATGTAATTAATAAGAATTTTATATGGATTGATATTTAATCGTCACAACAACTTGATGAGTTAGAATTGATTACCATTATCCCTGTTTAATAGATGGGAAGAGACCTTGAGTAATTCACTCAAGCTCACTTAGGCTCTATAACAGAGATTCAAAGCATAAGACACCAGTTAGCACTCTAAATTTCCATACTATATACTCCCCACTTACATAAAAAGATGCCTATACTCCATTCTGGTAAAATCCCATTTCTGTCAGATTTTTCTGTCTTACAGTCCATTTAAAATACAGCCTCAAAGTTTTTGATCATCATAAGACCCAGTGCCTCCAGAGCATAGTTTTGATTTAAAAATTAGAAGATTTTCCCTATTACAATTATTACTTGTAATTTTTACTGTGTCTAAAATTTGAAACATTTGAAACATGTTGAAAAACAATAATATATGACAAAAAATTTTCATGTTTTAAAAGAACATAACCAGTTAGCTGGGGCTCCATTGAAAGTATCTTATAATAAAAACAAATTTTAATTTTTCATTTAACAACACTAAAGAATGAGGTATATAAATGTTTTAATCACAGACTTTTACTGTATGCAATTAACTGTACTTCACAACTAGCATCTTACAAAAAAGACAGTCCCATTGTGCCTGGAAAAAGTACTGCAATCAAACGGAAAATTACATTACCACAAGAAACCACCAAATACACAACTGTCAGGGTCTACAGGTTGTTTTTTTTGTTTGTTTGTTTTTGTTTTTCGTTTTTTTTCTGTTCTTCAAATGCAATCATAGTGTTTTTAAGTGGTATTTTGTATCCAGGTTATGTTTTTAAGTTAATTTATATTCCAGAAGTCTCCTAGAGGTGGATACATATTAAGCAAATGGCTAAAAGAAGCAGGAGACCCTATGAGAATTTAAGAAGTACTGTGTGGTTTCTAGGCTGGATTTTTAAATACAACATGAAACACATTATTTCTTGTAAACAAAAATGCAAAATCTGTAGTCATAAAAATATTTTATTGGTAATTTTACATAATAGTAAGTGGGGCTGTAAATATTTTTTAAATTTCAGGATATTGATAAATGCATAAACTGGCAGTTGTGTCTGAAAATAGGATACTATGATTTTCATAAAAATCATTATATTTAATAAGAGGCCAATTAAACTGATTTAAGATTAGTTATTTCCCAGGTCTGTGCAACAGTTCCCATTTCTGTATTAATTAGATTCATACTTCTATGACCCTGCACAAGTTTGGGGCAAGACAACAGTGATAAAACTATTATTAAGTTAAAGCTTTTCCAAAATTGCAGCTTTTAAAATATGTCAGGTTTCTTTTCTGTTTTTGCCAAATGTTTATAATTATTTGAACTGTAATGTTTTATTTCATACAGAAAACATACCAGTGTTCAATGACAAGAGGACTAAACCTGAATTATAAAGCTAAATAATCAATGTTTTATTGTTTACTACTCTGCTAGTAAAACATTACAATAATGAATGTTTTAAAAGATAAACAAACAAAAACAAAGATAAAACCAGAAACATAATTCAGGAACAATAATTTAGTAAAATGTGTCAAAAACATTGGCAACGGTTCATACAAATTCTTTATTTAATAACAATTTTCCTATTTAACCACACCAAGTACCAGCAGGTGTATTTAAGAGGATAACCATTAAGAAAATCCTGTTGCAGCAATAGTTGATTACGTTGATCTTTGACTTGTATACATATAACTATTTGTTTCACAATTCTCAAATAATACATATTTAGGCAGCTTGCACTATGTTATAAAAATTGAAATTCATACATGCCAATAGTAGAGAATTATGTGTTAGAATTCACTAAACTAAAAGTGAAAATAGACTTACCAATAACACTGCATAATGAATAATTCAACCACATTTTCATGGCACCTTTAACTGTGGAGACCAAAATGTTAAATTTGGAAATTTTTGGTAGGCATAGATTGCAATAAATTCTAACAAATTTCTATCTTATGTAAAACGCAAATTATGGATTGTGCATGAATATGTTTGTCATGAAAATGTGGTACCTCTTGGCATAATCTGTGTATTTGCATGTTATGACAGAAGTGACTAAGAAACTGGAGAAAATAAACTTTAATGAGATTCTCCATTCAGTGATGAGGCTTCTCCTCTGGGTGAAGATGACCTGGACATTCCCCTCTCTGTGTTATCAGAGCTAGACCCACTCTGACTGTGTTGATCTGCAGAAGCAGCACTAGATGCAGGCGGTGACTTCGTTTTCTCCTTAAAGTCTGTAATAATGACTGTCAGATCTCCAACGGTAACTTCCAAATGCTGAGCACTACTCCGATCCACGTTTTTCAATCTTGGCCTAAACACAAAAAATGATTATATTTTAAACTAGCTTCTCTTTCTACCAACTTTCTGAACATATACTGAATAAATCAGGTAAAAATAACAAAATGAATGCATCTATATTTAAGGCTCTAGATTCATGTTTAACTAGCCAAAAAAAAAAAGTATAATTAAATGTTTTAAATCATTAACATTAATCAAACCAATCATTGATGAATCTTCTTCAACATGACAAACTGATACTCTGGAAGCAATGGTCTCTTAATTGTGCTTTTATAGCTTTATCATAATTTTGCAGATAGCTTATAAGTTTTACTAAAATAAATGTTTTAAGACAGTAATGACATAGTTGTATCACAGAGTAAGCTGATAACTATTAAGGCTCAGTTATATGTAAGGCTGTTATTCCACAGATGTGCACTGATAAGGCATCATGATTACCTATTCTGCCTGTACCCAAGAAGATTTTAACTGGTCAAAGCCCATGCAAGTATCTGTTCAGTATTGTGAATATCACTCCTGGCTTTATGACTAAAAAAGAAATAGCTCAAGCACAAATGTCTTTTAATCTAAAAAAGGAAGAAAGGAAGGGAGGGAGGGAGGGAGGGAGGGAGGGAGGGAGGGAGGGAGGAAGGGAGGGAGGAAGGAAGGAAGGAAGGAAGGAAGGGAGGGAAAAGGAAAGAGAAAGGAAACCTTACATTTAAGCTTATATTGGTGGCTTCTGTGTTTAATTTCTAATATACTTCTTAAACTCAGAAAAACACTTTCATGATATTTTATAATAAAGGAGATAAAATCTCTTCTACTCTGTATATGAATAGATTAATTTCAAAAGAGAATATTAATTAATGGTTTATTTTATTATTTCAAAAGTGCCATAAAACACTCTTCAAATTTACCTGGTTTTCTTATGACTGTTCTTTTTGCTAGTTGTTTCCTTTTCACTCTTTTCTTTTTCTACTTTATCTTTTTTCTCTTTCTTTGACTGTGTAGGGGGCACAAACTGCTGGGTAACCTGCTGTGCAACCAACTGGGAGACAGGTCGAGGTTTCCTGTGTGCATGTTAAAAAGAAAGTTTTTTTTATTATAACTTAAGAAAATACATTCTTTATGAGACTAGCTCTGATTATAAGAATACAGGTACACAACATTATTTTCAAGTACAAAAAATCCTTATATGTGAGATAATTTAATGTGCAATTTAACAGATTTTACACACATACACACACATAAACAAATTACTGTCTTTCCTATCCAACAAAAACAAAACTATAATAACAGTTAAAAGGTATAGCCCAAGATATATGGTCAAACCGTGAGAATATAACTGTTACATAAGTCAATGTGAAAATTATTTAAAAAAGTATATCAAACTGAATGCTCATAGGGAAGCACACATATAAATAAACATGAATTTCAAAAATTTAAACTTGAAAATTTATACTGAAATAACATTTAAATATATCCCTTCTCCTTCACAGAAGGAAATAGCTAACCTAACCATCTGTGACAATGGCTATTTGTTCTTTCCTCTAAAATCTTTCACTTAATTTAATAAGTATTTGAGTGTCAAATTTTCTCACTCTTTATTGCTAAAATCTTTAAGGTTCCTTTTATCTCTAGCCACAATCTCAGCGTGCTTTTTTGACCTTGGCAATCTGTCTAGTCCTTTGAGACTTGCCTATTCACTCATTTATTCACTTAAAAAACATTAATTGAGAAACTATTGCAAAAATTGCACCATGATATCTGAAATGTTGCTTCACTTCACGCTTTAGTGACAGTACTGTCATTCTACTTGTCAAGGATCCCTCCAACTTTATGGTAGAACTTGGGCAACTGTGGTCAAGATTCGAAGTAAACATTCTCTAAGTTCTTAAAATGAGAGACAGAAGAGTGAGGAGGGGAGTGAAAATGGGAGGAGTGAAAAAGTGAGGGAAGGGAGAATAAGATAAACATAAATTTTAGCAGCTGGTCTACAAAACAATAGTAATTTTATTGCATGGAAAATCCTGAACCCATTTTGGTCAGTAGAGTTATTAAAGAATCTTTTGTTGTTGTTCCTCTAAAGCCATGACAAAATAGAAACCAATGAGAAAATACTGCACTATCTACAATTCAAAACTTTAAGGAGGAATCCTTTTAAGGAGTAAATAGGAAACACAGTATGTAATCAGGTATCAGTAGATGGATAATGAATTTTGTTCAGAACCTACAGAGTCTGAAGTACAGAAAGCATATCCAGGAAAGATGTACAACACAATTTAAGAAGTAGGGTTGACACAGATATCAGGGTTAATTATGTAGATTAAGAGTTATACAAATGAAAGTGATATTGAAAGCATGGTGATTAATGGCTGAGCTTGTAAGGAAGTAAAGTTTTTAAAAAATGGATTAAAACAATGTTTTTTGGAGCACCTGGGTGGTTTAGCTGGTTAAGCTTGCAGCTCCGGTCATCTCTGCATCAGGCTCTGCGCTGACAGCTTGGGGCCTGCTTGGGATTCTCTCTCCCTCTCTCTCTCTGCCTCTCTCCTGCGCATACACACTCTCTCTCAAAATAAACATTTAAAAACACACACAATGGTTCTTAAATTTAAGGTACATCAGGATCACCAGGAAGGCCTGTTTATGGCTTGCTTGGCCCCACTCCCAGAGTTTCCAATTCAGTAGGCCTAATAATCTGCATTTCTAACTGGTTTCTGAGTTAGTTGATGCCTCTGATCTAGCCCAAAAAGAAGCTTGAAGAGCTGCAATATGTTGTTACTAGTGCCGAATAAAGATTGAGATGGAGAGCAGGGAATGGCAAGGCAATGAAGAAAAAAAACAAGGCTAAACAGATAGGAAGGAATCCAATAGTAAAAAGCTAAGGAGTCTGACTTACCCTTAAAAGATGGGAGATCACTGAAGAAATTCAGAATTTAATTTTACAAAAATTACTGGCAGCAGTATAAAGGGGAAAGGTACCTCAGAGTGGCAGGGAAACTGTTAGGAAAGCTACTTTAATAGATTAGGCAAAAATAAAAAGGGCTTGAACTAAGGAAGCAGCAGAGGGGTTATTTAAGACAGGCTGAAGAAGTAGAATCAAAGACCTGGTAACTAATTATGTATACCTTTCTTAACCAACAAATATTCCTCTAGAAAAACACAGAAATCCTTGTCCTCATGCAGCCAATATTATGTGGGTGGAATCAAAAAATAAACAGTCTTAAACGTTCATTTAAATGCTATGGGAAAAAAATGAGGAACACAGAGATTATTGGAAGAGTTGCAGTTTTTTATTGTTTCCTTTTCTAGCATGTAAATCTCCACAAGGAAAGGGATGATATCAGCTTTATGCACCACTGTATAACTTAGTACCTAGCACAGTTCTGAAAAATACTAGATACTTAGTATTTGTTGTTGAACGATAAAATCAAGTTTAACAAGGAAGAAACATGTTTGTTTTTTGGTTTTTGTTTTTTAAGAAAAGGAGTACTGTACAGGCACCTGGGTGGCTCATTCAGTTGAGCATCCGACTCTTGATTTTGGCTCAGGTCATGATTCCACGGTGGTGGGATCAAGCCCTGTATTGGGCTCCATGTGGAGTGTGGAGCGTGCTTGGGATTCATGGTCTCTCTCTCTTGCATACATACATATACTCTCAAATTAAATTAAAAAGAAAAAAGAGTACTGTCTCTAAGGTTACTCACTAGACAGGATCAACCACTCACTACACAGAGGTAAACAAGTAGTAAAGTAAGAGCAGGAAGAAATAATTTATCTTTTAATTATGCTGTAAAGTGGAAAAAGAAAAAAAAGCTCAGGGGTGCATGGGTGGCTCAGTGGGTTGGGCATCCGACTTCAGCTCAGGTCACGATCTCACGGTTAGTGGGTTTGAGCCCCGGGTCGGGCTCTGTGCTGACAGCTCAGAGCCTGGAGCCTGCTTCGGATTCTGTGTCTCCCCCTCTCTCTGCCCCTCCCCTGCTCATGCTCTGTCTCTCTCTGTCCCAAAAATAAATAAAACATTAAAAAAAAATTTTTTTTTTTAAGAAAAAAGCTCAAAGGTGTGGCAGGTTTGAGAAAATATGTTTAAACTAGTACCTAGTGAATAGTGAATCACCTAAAATTGAGTCATTCCAAGATATAAAATGCAATGGAGGTATAGTCATCATTTGGTCTCCCAAGGTAATATGGATCTCTGAATCTCTTCCTTCCATAATAAATGAAGGTTTAACAACTTCCTTCATTATATATATTGTGTGTATATATATATATATATATATATATATATACACACACACACACACATATATACATACACACACACACACATATATTACATGTATATAGTATATATTATTATATGGTATATATATTGTACTGTCACTCCCTCCATCCTAAAATTTAGTGCAAAATAAGTTAACAAAAATTTTACTGATTAAATTGAACTAAAATAAAATTACAAACGCTGAAATAAATTTACATGCTTTTTGAACCAGAGGAGAAATCCCGACATTTCTATCAATAAACTGATGTTAGTTATTGAGTAGTGGCCATTATTACTAACAAGATATATACATTTTATTTATATTATCTTTATTTAGTATTGCCTATAAGTAAAATAGCATATTTTTCTAGGTTTTCCTGTATTCGTTAATGAGCGAACCCCAATGCTGTTTTCCCGTAAGATCTGAATATCTCAATCATGGATTCTCTGATCAAGATTTTCAGGAACATGATTCTTGTGCTGTGATTAAGTACAGAATATTTTTATGACATGATCAATCACTCCCTCAAACCTCCAGCATTTGTCTCCCAAGTGAGTATCCATCTACTATGTGACACTGTTCCTCAACATCTCACTCCCATTTTTTTTAAGTTTATTTATTTTCTGTGTGTGTGAGAGAGAGACAGCACATGCACCACTGGGGGAGGGACAGAGAGGGGGAGAGAGAGAGTATCCCAAGCAGGGTCTGGAGCTGTGCAGAGCCTCTTTCAGGGCTTGATCTTACAAACTGTGAGATCATGACCTGAGCCAAAATCAAGACTCGGACGGTTAACCAACTGAGCCACCCAGGCGCCCCCTCCCTCCTGCTTTTATGTGAGAAAGGAACAATCCTAATTTCCCAACTCTGGTCTCTTGTAACTGTTGCCAAGTCTTTTTCATATTTAAGAAGTGTTATCTCTCCAGAATCTTTCTAGAATCATTTCCCTTTTTTATATGACCCATCAATCTGAAAATATTAGAGCATGATTTGCTTCATAACCTCATGGTTGAGTTAATTTATAATTTATTTTTAAATGAGTTATGAATTTAAAATTCGTGTTATACTCTCAGTGTTAAGAACAAACTACGTAATAAATGCACACAGAAAGAACAATTAGTTAAACTGGTCAGGTGAGGGGCTGGACCGGAAAACAAGCTAGAAGACTACCACATCAAACTGGAAGTGAAGTAATAGTAGTAAGGGTCTATTCTGTGGATAGTCAGGAGAATGGCATTGAAGCAGTGAACCCGATGACATTTCATAAGGATAACCCAATCGGATGCATACCTGAGTAAGAGGGATAATGAACTCTCCCCCAAATGGGAATAAAACTGAAAGAAATGGGGGGAATTTCTAAGGGCGGTGCTGTGTACTGAATGTTCGTGTCCCTTGCAAAATTCATTTATTAAAATCCTACCTCTCCAAGGTGATAGTATTAGGTTGGGGGAGGAGGGGGGGGTCTTTGAGAGGTGACTGGGTCATGTGGGTATAGCCCTCATGATTAGTGCTCTTATAAGAGACCCCAGAGAGATCCCTTGCCTCTTCTGCCATGTAAGAAAATGGCTGTCAATGAGGAAGTGGCTCCTTATCAGGCAGCTAATCTGCCAGGGCCATGATCCTAAACTTGCAGCCTCCAGAACTGTGAGAAATTAATGTTCGTTGCTCATAAGCCACCTCATTTATGGTATTTTGATACAGCAGCTCAAATGGGCTAAGACAGTTGCAGGAAAGCCAAGAACAGGTCTACTCTAAATAGGGGGTACTGACATGCTTGGTGTTAATTATGTTGGATTTATAGATTTAAT